GAGTGTTTTGCACAATAACGGCGCGTATTAGTAATTTTCATCTCCACCTCATACTCACGAGCATTTGTTCAACATTGCACAGGCATTTGATCGTAGTAATAGGATTGCAAGTCCCGTGAAATGTTCGGTGTCAATCAAAAAAATTTTTTTTTCTAATCCAAACGCGACGCGAACAAGTTATTATCAAGTAACCAGGAAAGCCAGGGAAGTAAGCGCTACTTTGTTACTTCTGCGACGTCCCATAATATCCTACGATGCGTTGGAACTGTTCCACATGCTGTGGACCTCCTTCGATCGATGCTTGGAAAGGAGTTGTCATGCTCCTGCTAGGTTGAGCTTAGCACATGAGATTGGCAGCTTCTTTCCAGAAATCTTCTACTATGCCAACCACTTTTTATGTCAGTTGATTATTACCTTTGATTAATATTAATAGTGTTGATTATCATTAATTTAGCATGAACATTTCGAAAGGGATTGATAATTTTTTCAGAACAACAAATTATGCAAGATGGTCCGTCATCAATTGTCTCGAATATTTGGCGAAAAATTGCACAGCGGTGACATCTGAGAAGCGTGAGGACATTATAACCGAGTTTAAGAATCAACTTTAATTAATAAGCGTCCATAATTCAATAAACAAAAAGGCGCGGGATAAAACTATAATGATGCGGAGAGATTTCTTCAGTTCAAAGAGATAATAGCATTTTTTGACCGAATGGATAAATAAGTAAATTTGTATTATTTGGTCAATATGCAAAAAATTCTAACCAGTTCACAGGCGAATGAAAATTTATTTTGAAATGAAAACTGATCTATATGGATCAGAGGTCGCGGTACAAATGATTGATACGAAGTTGAATTCTTTTCAAACTCCTGCAAGCAGTCAGGCCATGACATCAAATGGTGTCAACGCTGATGAAACTTCCAAGGTTTATTGTTTTCATCATTGTTAAATGTAACATTTATATTTTGCAGCAAATCCACAGATAAAGAATATGTCATCCGAACGCGTAATAATTCTTCTAAAGAGATTTGGGGGAGGGTGATGACGTAGACTTTAATGAAATGATCCGAGTTATCCATTCGCTTACAGTGGGGTCAATCTTCGATTTACATGTCGTTACTTTTTGTTCAAAGGCATTGGCTTAGCGGGACTCGTATTTACTGTATCATTAACCAAAATTATATCATTTATTTATTCTCTAGATTTCAGGTAATTTCGTACTTTCTTCACAATCTCTGTCGCACTTTCTTTTGTAAGCTCATTGCGAAAAAGTAGTTTCAATATGTCTGTAATTTGACTTGTCTGTTGTCGATATCGAAGTTTCCGATCGAGCTCGTGGGATTTCTCAGATGCACGCTCGATTATAGCTTGTGGTAGCTTAGCGAGACGAGCAACATTAATACTACGGGTTAAGGGTTATAAGTGAGAATGGTTATTTGTAACAGCGTACATTCATATTAACAAAGCAAAAAACTCACCCATAGCTTTTCATAGCTACACCCTCAGTCAGTTTATACAGAAATGTAATTGAATGAGATCCATCTAAGCGTAAAACAACTTATAATCATTAATACGGTCAAATCCTGAATTCTGATGGTACCTCATCATTGCTACCTTCTCCTTCAGCCTCCAGGAACCCCATATGATAATTCTCTACAATTCCTTGAAAGTCATGAGCCAGTTTGGCCAGCGATGGATAGTGCGTAACAAATAACGTCATGCACTTGATCTTTTCGATAAAGTGTCTCAATACTGCATATGCGATTGCGACTCCATCATGAGTGCTAGTCCCTCTTCCGAGTTCATCAAGAATAACTAAACTTCTTCCGGTAGCATGTTTCATGATTTGTGACGCCTCATTCAATTCAACCATGAAGGTACTTTCCCCAGCCAGCATATTATCAGACGCACCCATACGCGTGTAGACGGCATCCAGGATTCCTAAACGAGCCGACGATGCTGGGACGTATGAGCCTATTTGACCCATTATTGCTATCAGTGCTACTTGGCGAATATATGAGCTTTTTCCTTGGTAAAGTGATGGGAGAATGTTTGGTGATATTGCCAGCTGTTATAACACGCAGGATGAATCTATTCAATCACATACCACCCATGTTTGGTCCGGTGAGAATCATTGTCCTCAGTCCATTCGTCTATGAAACAAGTTAATTGATATGAATTCAATCTGGTCAATACGTTATTAAACTTATGCGATACTTACGCTCAGTTTTACATCGTTGGCAACGAAAGTATTATTTAGCTGTTCAATCATCGGATGTCGTCCATTAACTACTTCAATCTCAGCCTCGTCCGTGAATTCAGGTTTCACATACCCAGGCTGCCGAGATACAATGGCGAGAGAAAACAAACAGTCGAGTACAGCGATTTTCTGTATTGCATCTCGTAAGACTTCATAGTGATTCGATATTTCTCTTACAAATTGAATTAAAGAATGAATAAAGCGAATACATGAACATATGGGCAAAATTTATGTGCAAGTTATTGGAAACTATCTTACTGCAAAAAGTTTTTGTATGCTTGGTCACACGCGGATGAGAGCCGTTCTCGATGTTGATCGCGTTCTTTGATTTTTTGCATAATTGTTGGAGAATGGAAGCGGGACGCCGATTTCGTACTATTTCAGTGAATGTAAATAAAATGAATTCATTGTAAAAAGACGCCAAATATCTTATTTACAACAATAACATACCCACAGACTTTAACCCATGTCTTCGGTACAATGTTTTCTTCAGTCTTCTTCACTTCAATAAGATACTTTGAAAAAAAAAAGGTTAATCTAAAAAATTAGCGAATGACGTGACCATATTCCACCAATTATACCTCAATCCCGGCGACAGTCTTGTATTCAAACTTTGGCTTTTGCAACAATCGACGTATTTCCATCAAGTGATTATAGAAATCCTTCTCAACTGTTGCTATATTCTAATAGGCAGAATGACTGTTGTTAAATACCTCTCGCGTGTCAACCACAGCGGTACTTTACCCTCTCTCTCACCTCTTTATGTTGCTGAATTTCACGATATTTTTCTGCATTTTTAAACAAGTTAAACTTATCCTGCCTTTCCGCTGCCCCAATATTAATCACACTAAGAAAATTATCAACACACGGCTTAATTTTCGGGAGAAACGTGAATATACTTGTGAGAAGAGGTGAAGTCAAGTCAAGAGATGAGAACGGTAGATATGCAGACGAGACACGTTGTAGGGAATTTAGGATTCGAAAAAGCTCTGATGATGTGCACTACAGGTATAAAGACATGTGAGGAATGAATTGCCGAACAGCGACGAAGAGAATATTGATCGTTAGATACCTTTCCGTAGTGTATCTTGCACAATCCCTTCTCTAAATCGGGTAATTTACCCAATAGCTCCTGCGTCACACTCAAAACGGGGCTGGTACCATGTAATATCTCCTCTACAGCACCAATCCTCTCGTTTAGTTGACTACGATCATGGTTAAGCTTGCGGTTATTACAGCTACGCTTTCTACGTTGCTTCATTCCGACATTCAGTTCTTACCCAATATCGATCAAAGGTCTTCCAATCCATTTTCTCAATAACCTTTTCCCAAATGGAGTACGTGTATGATCTAAAACCCATAACAAGGACCCTTTCTCCCGTAAATCTGTCTGGTTATTGTAAATCTCAAGATTCGATATTGTATTGCCATTGAGAAGCAGTTGATTACGTGCTGAAAAGTGCGTGAAATATTTCGTTAAGCGAAAGACGTGATCAAGCGAAAATTTCTGAAGATAGGATATTAGCGAGGCTAGGCAAGAGCTAGATAAGAAAGAACAGTGAAAGACACGCGTAAATGCATGAACATATATACGAGCGTGAGCTGCCGACTTGAATGCTTACGTGATTGATCTGGGAAATTGCATTACATCCGTGAAAAGAGTTTCTAAAAGTGAGTAATAAAATAGATTAAATCACTATAACTTACGCGTTTTTAACTTGGAAAACAAACCCCACCTTTAACTACGCTCTCTCCACTCTCGTCTGCCACTTCTTTGTTACTACAATTCTTGGCGTTTGAATAAAACTCGGACACGAAACTGAATGCTCTTGCATAGTCGAGATGGATGTCATCCATTCTTTCTATTCTGATTTTCTCTCCAACACCACTAGTGCTGTCGATCACGTCATAAGTTATAGTTGTCTTTATATTGAAATGTCTTGATTCAACGTAAAATGGTAACATCCTAACCTTTGAGACGTAATGTGTGATATAACTTTCTCTGTCTGTTTACTTATTATTTTCGGCAATAATATTTCACATGGCCGAATGTGAAGAAGACGCGTTTCTAGTTCATTTCGCATATGTCCATCGTCAAAGTAGTCGTAAATTATATCTCCGGTTGCTATTTGGACTGCCTAGAGAAATTTAATTGATTGGATGCTGAACATGTCAAATTGATCCGGAATGGAAACAAAATCTACGAGGTAAAACTCATCTACATGCAAAAATCCTCACTATGTATACCACTTATAATAGGACAAGCGTTCAACAAAAACTAATTCACCCACCAAAACGCTAATCTTAACCAGTTCGTCTAATCCACTTCCCCCACAGTGTTCTTCCACTATAGCCATCACATGATCGGACTGTCCGACATTAGAAATTAAGGCTTCTTCGCTATTCATATCAGAATGTGTTCAATAGAGTCAAAGCAATATAGACAAAAAATCATTCGACATATAAACGGTATCAGTACGTAATTGAAAAGGATATCCTCTATAAACGTCCCTCGTGTGTACAGATTAGTTAATTTACGTACAAATGGCGTGTTTCGATTATCTCCAGCAGCCTTCAATGCTGCTGTTTCCATTTGGCTATTGCGATATGTAAAACGGAAGCATTAATCACATAAGCATGTGATTAGTTACGTTCAAATAATAAATATTCACATTAGTGCGTCTTTTTCTTACCGCACAACGCCAACTTTATATCCAGCATATACAAGTCTAGTTTCGAGATTTTCAAGTCATCAATACATTCGTGTTATTTATGTAACAATAAGCATACGATGAAATACCTTCTCACATGTACATTCAAACGATGTACTGGAATACTCGCGACATAAAAATTGTGGTCCATGAAATGGGCTATGCTTAGTATTTTCGATGCTACCTATATCAATTGGCATGTCAATCAGAATATATGCAAACCGTACGAAAAAAAAGGAATCAATAAGGTAAGCTGTCTTACAACTGCATCCTTGTCAAAGAACTTGAATTTGTATCCAACTTCTACTATGAGCAAGGTGTCGGGATATTCACGCTTTATCGCGAGATACTGTTTCTCCAGTGGGGTGTAAGTAATCACAGACGATTTAGATGGTGCTCTGTCGCTGGGTGTACGACCTGTCTCTTGCGACCCTCTCTCATCGATTTCCATGGCATCTCGCGCGTGATTACCCAACTTCTTAACGAATCGTTCGTGTAACATTTGTCTCTTGTTTTTGTTCTCATCCATATTCACACTTGCTTCTATATTCATCGCATCAGGTGACTTAATCTCGCGTCCGATATCCATGTCATCTTGGATGTCACTACCATCACTACTAACAACTACAATGTCCTTATCAGACTGCTTTTTCTTTGGCTCCTTTTCACCACTAGAAAAACAATACTTTTCGGCCCAGTCGGACGCCCGCGGTTTGTCTCCTTCAAAATAAGTCGACTTTAGATGCGAGCGAACACCTTTATTCTCTATTCGTATCTTTTTTGTCGCTGAGTATGTGTCTTCATTAGTTGGAACTCTGGACGACGTCTTATCAGCTTCTACTCGCGTACGTTTTTCTTTTGTGTCAGCAGATACTTTCCTTACAAAGTCAAGCAGCGTTTGTTGTTTTGGTGATATGGTGGTGTGCTTTTTTGATTGTTGTCTTCCAGTGGATTTCATGATTTGTTGAAGCACACAATATTGTAAATTTTGTAGAAGATGAACGAAGCTAGTGGCTGAGAATGTACCGCGCCAATAAAATGTGTCGCGACCAAGTTGTTTTGTGTAACAGCTATTCAAATTAATGATACTTGTCAAGTATAATGCTCGTAAGGAAAAAGCAAAAGACTTGCTACGCTTTCGTCAACTGTGTTAATTAACAGACTCGATAAGTGGAAGCATGAATATATACAGTATTGAGCTACATATGTGATAGTGATAACGATACACGTCTCGATTACCTCAACAGTTTCTTTCTACACAAGAACACTTAAACATATTTACTTTGTTCTCCAAATGTTCCGAAGCAAAAACCATTCATTCGAGAAGATTTAAATTGTACTTTTACATCAAAAAGAAGATATTTCCACTCAACGTTGCAGAGGGTCATTTCAAGAGGGGACACCTAGAAGCAATTACGTTCTTTGCGTGGTTGTAGTCGCATAACTTTCATAAAAAGTCTGTACAAAACGCAAATTGTACAAAAATTTTAATCAACGCGTCGGTACTGGGATAAAGATGTATATTATTTGATTAAGCTGACATATCATACCTTTAATATGCCAACTGTCTTCTGTGGGGATACTATATCAAACAAAGGAAAATGACACGAGCTTATTTTTGACGAATGCAATGCTCCTGGGCCAAATAATCATGATGATGGAAATGGACAAGGCAGCGATGATAAAAATCACGTATTCGCCTTGACTAGTGATGATCACGAAAAATCGCGAAAAGAAGAAAAAAAGAAAAAAGAAGGCAGTCTCAGTCAAAGTCGAGAGTAAGAATTTTACCAACGCTGCAGTGGTCTCGCTCGTATGTGGCCTCCAAAAACAGAAAATCCTTTTGGAGCACTTTCAAAACTTGTACTTGGACAACAGAGAAACCGACGACACCATGTCATTTTGTACTTCCGAACCGTTTCCCTACACAAGGAATTGAAAGTCGTGTCCCAATGTACAATGTATCAGGACACAATGAACTATCTGAATCGTCAAATGCACGTAATAGTTCGTTCATGTTAATTGAGAAAATCAAGAAGGATTCATCCCTAAGTAGGATGTTATCCATACTCAGTTGATAATAATGTATTACTCGTCTTATTGATGATATGGAGGGTACAGTCAAGACTGGATATAACGATACTCCCGTTAGGTCACATTTTCATCGTTATAGCGAGTTATCGTTAATACC